GAATCTTGAAAATATACCTAGAAAATTGGGGATCAAATCCAACAAGATAGTATGTAACCACAACCCAAACACCGGATTCTATAATTGATGATGGAATACTTAAAATCCATGAAGGAAGTGTGTAAGTCCAACAGGGGTATAAATGTAAATCTCTATGCTTGTAGACAACAGGAAGCTTAGTTATCAACATAGGAACCTCCATGAATCCATTAAACAAAATCATAACTATTGCAACCAACATAAGTTGAAAAAACACACCTGTCATGATTAAGTAATCTAGATAATAGTAATAGTAATAAGGTACTTACATTTACGAGCTTTTTGAGAGGCTTGAACTCTTTGTCTAGGAAAGTTCAACTTGTTTCTCACTAAGAAGCTACATTGGGAGCTCTTGATTCCACTAGACCTCCCAATGAATAAACCCTAGCATCAAACAGTTCTAATAAGGAATATATTATATATACATATCAATGAAATTAGAATTTGGGGGCTAGGGTTAGGGTTAGGGCTAGCAACCATGAAATATAGCACACTGATTGTTGTTTAGGGTTATGAACTCTGTAATGGAACTATAAATGGTTAAATGAACATGTTCATAGTTATGAACTCTGTAATGGAACTATAAATGGTGAAATGAGATCGAGAGGCGCTTGTTCGGCCTTAAGAATGTCAAGGATATCAGTTGCGTCTCTAGGAAGTTGGTCCAGAGCCACTCGTACCTCCTCCTCCGAGTTCTGTACCGGAATAGTAACGAAGCAGAAAAAATGGAGAAAATTTGGGTGAAGAAGAAGAAACCTGATAGCAGATTGCAGGCAGGACAGTCACTCGTGGTATGCAGAGGTGGAAGAGACGTTCCCGATACACGTGTAGACATGAAGGTTTCAACAACCCTATCGATGTTCCCGATACCATAACTCTCAAATTTGAAAACCTTCTATCTGCTTTATTTGCTTTATACTGGCTTGTATGATTGTAAGAATGGTGGTGGATGAAGCGTTCGTCGATAGGGCCGGTGCGCCGCCGCTGTGTGAGGCCAAAAGAGACGGTGAGTGTTGGAGGCGGTGGTGGTGGGTTAGGGCAGAGACGAAGGATGTGAGATATGAGAGAATGATAGTCCTCGTGACGTTCTTGAAAAAAAGCCCTAGTTTTGGTCCCCATTTTGTAATAGGAATGCGCGTTTAAAAATTATAAAGCGACATGGTGCATAGGACACGCGCTTATGATGGGTGTCTTCCGTGTTTTTATTTTTATTTTTTTCTGACACAAATTCTAGGGCGCGCAAAAATGCGCGTTCTAAATCGTTCAAAATTTTGGAGAGATGACGTTATTTTTACGTCACACACTTTTGCGTATTGTAAATCTGTGCGCGTCATAAATTGTGTGTCGTAAAAGGCTGTTTTTCTAGTAGTGAAAAATACCCACATCCTCTACTAAAAGAATAATTAGGTACATATGTGCAAATTATAATGCTAATATGCAAGTACAATGTCTAACATGACAAAATGTCCATGTATGATGTAATGTCCAAGTCTGTCGCAATTAGTTATTCAGTTGGTATAGAGAAGATGAGATTATTTCTTTACATTAGGCATTTATAAATAGTTACAATGCCTAATATGTTTATGCATTGTTAAGGACCGATGTAAGTACAATGCTACAATGCTAAATAAATACAATGCCTAAAATGCTAATATGTTTATGCATTGTCAACGTCTGATGTAAGCATGATGCTTAATAATTTACAATTACAAAGTCTAATCCATTTCAATAAGTACAAATAAGAAATGAGCAAGTAAACTTACATATTTTGCAGCGGCATCGGTAAATCTCCACCCTTTTTTCTCATCCCAATGTGTAAGCCTCCAAGTCTCAATTTGACCCGTTGAAGAATCCAAATCAAGTCCACGTTCGATGTGATAGCTTATTGTACTTTTTGAACAAATTTCTACTATTCATTTTACGCTTTCCACGAGCCATAACCCTCTTTTCTGCAGTCTCCTTTAAGGATTAACAACCAAATCAATCAAAAAAAATATTAGATGGAATTTAGTAATGATTAATAATATTATACTTCAAATATTTTTAAAACATTACCATGTATTTTGGCTCACACCACATATCACAAAGATACTCCCAATCATCTTTGCTACCCATATTTGGAGGGGGTGTAGTCTTTGCCTTTGTTGGATCTACTGGTCCTCCAATCCCTTTAAAGTAATCATGCAACTGAGATCTGTAGGTTCTCCAAGCCCTTGCCACGTGGCTGTCGATAACTTTGCAAACATTCGCATCCTCCACATCAATTTCAAAAAGTATCTTCAAGAAACAAATATAATTAGTTGACTAGTGAATGAAATTTTAAGAATCATATACTTAATTAGTATAAACAAAACTTACAGTTAGCCTATGGCATAACGGCAACGGAGCTTCTTCTGGTACATGTCTCCACTCTTTGTATTGCATGCTACAATTGTTATGCAAAATGTAGCCACACTCGTACATGAAAGCTGAGGCATTGTCACATATTACTTGCCTTGTTTTAAAATTGAACTTCACTGTCAATCTCTTCTTGGCTGCTTTCATTGTCTTTCGTGCACCCTTGCCACATGTCAATCCACGTTTGTGCTTGTAGTATCTGTATCATGTTCTTGTTCAGTACCAAGTTCTTGTTCGGTCTCAGAACTTGGGTCTATAAGCAAGTAAAAGTAAGTTTATATTTACAAAATGACATAATAAATTATATTAAAGTGTAAAATTGAACATCTTTTCTAACCAGGTTGTTGCTCGGTTGTTTGAGATCGCTCTATAACCACGTTTGTTGCAGATGTCCCTATTTACAAAGATAAAGAATTAGTCACGATCACAACATTAGTGTAACAAATATGAACAAAACTTGTTACTTGTACCTGATATTGGATGAAGTTGATAGCTTGATATACGAGGGATTGGATCTCGTTGTAGCAGTCATCTTAGTAAAGAGGTGTAGAAATTGTCCAAAAAGTAAAAATTATTAATAAAAAAAATACTAGTGAGGTGGTGGAATAGATAAAAATATAAAAATAGAAGGGTGTGATAGAAACATACATATTTCAGGTAATAAATATTATTTGAGGAAAATGGAACAAAATGTTACCTGAATTTGCTATGTTGTAAAGAGTAGTACGTTCTCCATCTTGTCTGCCCAGTCCACCTCTTCCACCTCTATTTAACATTATGCTCTTTACAACTGTAAAAAAAATAACGTCTACCTCTTCCGCCTCTTATTGACATTATGCTCTTTACAACCGTAAAAAAAATAAATATTTTATAACTCAATCGATAATAATAAATTTAACAATAGAAATATTGTTACATAAATCTAACCGATAATTATAAAGAAAATCATGTTAAAGAGTTAATTATATAAAATGAGAATCGTTGGCTAGTGTATGCAAAATAAAACAATGTTAAATATTAAAAAAGTGGCAAGGTGATGTCTGCTGCTATTATAGGGTATGCAAAATAAAACAATGTTAAATATTAAAAAAGTGGCAAGGTGATGTCTGCTGCTATTATAGGGCAGTTATTTGACAAAGATTTCTTGAATTTGTTTTTGTTCACAAGACACTATGTTAGTCTATTGGATTCTTGTAGACAATTTTATTTTTTTAACCATGCTCAGAGTTTAGATGGCCTGTAGAGTCTAGTTGGCTATAAGGTGTAGTGTTTTAATGTTTGAGATTATTTTGTGGTGTTTATATTCAGTTTTTAGATTATATAGTTTGTTTGTCAAACCTATTGCTTCAATAAACGTATTAGGTTTAGGATTCTTATTTTATGATAATGTTTATCTTAGGTAAGGATTTGTAAGTTATTATATTATAAGGAAATCAAGGGAGTGTAAATCTTGATTTTTTTATAGCTCGTCCCTAATTCTTAAATGATATGGGAATTGTTAAATACAAATTGGTATTTGGTTCTAATTCGGGATAATTTTTCTTGGTACCAGAACCTGAAATACTGATTCCATGTAAATCAAACAACCGGTACCGGACCTATCATATATAATTTGTTCGTTTTCGTGACCTGTTCCAGTTCGGGACCGGTACGGGATTAGGAATTGGTGCTAGATGCTCATCCCCAATCAGAATAAAATAGTTTACTGTGATAAATTATTATTCAAGGTAAAACTAAACTAATTCGAAGATGAGATACATGGTTGAGACAGGGGTCCTTTAGAAGCATCAAAAATAGGCCAACATTCGTGTTCAAGATGTGACTTAACCAATGCCATATTGCATGAGTAGTTAGTCTTTATCATTTAATTATTTGAAAACAACTGCATTTAATTTGACAACAACCAAACTTTATATAACTTAACGAGGCATAATGTAATTCAATCCCCAAGATACTTGTTGAAAAGAAATGACTCCGCCAAAGGAACAATGTCAAATGAAAGAGACACTTTAATAATGTAATCTGACTAAAAATTTTCAAATCTGCTTGGATGGATGATTCATTGAAGAGACTATATACGCATAACATATCCTAAATCCCTAAACATCAAATCAATTGGAATAAGTAGAAGAATATTAATTGCGTTCATAAAGGTGAATCTTGTACGCATAACCAATATAGATATCACAGATATGGAAAAGTACTGTATGCTAGGGACATTAACAAGACAACAACTAAATTAATCCAATAAAAGGGTCGATCCAAATAGAAATGAAGCTAAAAATGGTAAACGTACCTGGAATTGTTGAATACGTCACACTGCCCTGAACTCTAAGCACTAGATTTCATTGAACTCTAAGCACTAGATTTCATTATCGTTAATCTCCTTCCTCGTTCCTAGAACTGTCTTCTTCCTTTGATATTTGTAAGGTTTTGATAGGTTTTTTTGAGGCCGAATCAAATGGAACAACCGTCTCCGTCCATCTATAGTCATGGGCACGCCAATTTCGGAAGAGATCGTGTCGATCTTCTCCGAATTTGATATTTGTTATGTTTTGATAAGGTTATAAGGTATAACTTTTATTTGACGATTATAATTTTGACTTCCACGTTATTTACATTTCATCCACACATTTAGTTTAAGAGTACTATGTGTACGGAATATACATTTATTACCCACACACATATAAACATGTGTAGGTATTTAATTTTCCACGTCACTTATAAAAAAAATATTTAATCTATTTAACTACATATTTATATATAAATATTATATGTAGGTAAAGGACAATATATTACCCACACATACTTCAAATCTTTATTTATGTGTAGGTATATTACCTACACATAATTAAAATTTGATACATGTGTGGGTATTCTAAATTTAGTCGATCATAAATTTGGGAGGAAATTTTCCCACCAATATAAAATGTGGCTAAAAAGTATTACCAACATATATTAAGTGGAGGCCAATATGAAAAAAATATTATTGAAGATTACCAACACATATATAAACATGTGTGGGTATTTACCCACACATTTACATGTGTGGCTAAATTATGTGTGGGTAGACAATACTGTTTCGAGGATTACTCCCATAATACGTGTTTAGTAAGTGTTAAGTGTTAGAGTATCATTGCATGAATACGTAGTTTCGACATCGCCTGAACTCATAATTCATCACCTACAGGCTATGAGCCTGTTGGTGTTTCCATATGACTTGTTTAGATTAGTCATTGGGTGCCATCTATACACTCATAGATGACTACATTGCCACATCTCAAGTCAACGTTAGGGCATCTCCTAGTCATCTCTTATTTATCATCACCTATCTACCATCACATATCTATCATCTCCTATCTATCATCACCTATTTCTACCCAATATATATTTATAAGTGCATAATACTTATATGTTCGAATCAATTTAAATGTCATCTCATATTATTTTATCTAACACATAACATTTTTGGCACAAATAATAAGCACATAAATCATGTAATTATCTAGATATTTCATATCTATGTGTAAGATGAAGGTAACTATGCACTCACTTTATAAAAATGGATACCGCAGAATTTGGGCAGAACCTCGCCTTAGCACTTTCAATGACCTAAATGTATAATACTAAGTCTTAGTCTAGTTTCATAATCCAGGCAACTATAACTATAGTCGAGATTCCTCACTAATACAAATGTTTACATCAAGATCTATCAAGTAAGGATCAACCAGGCATGTGAGTTGGGAGGCAAGATCATTACAACATAATAGCTTTTCTGAAATCTAACAACCAAGCCAACGTGACCATTCTAGACACCTCTCTCGTAAGTAGAATAATCAGTATAACGACATGGAACTACTGATAAATCTTATTTATTAGTTCATAAGAACGACTATGACTATAAATATAAGTTACACTGAAAAGATTAGAGTGTAGCTTAACTTATAGAGGTTCTTGTTGACAAACGTTAGGAAATTGCACTGGCAGAGCTTCTACTCGCTAGCTACTACTACTGCAGGGGTCGCAGGGCTTCACCAAAGACTAAAACTAAGAGAAAATTAGGCTAGAACTGAAGGAAATCGAGAAGGGAGTTGTGGAGATGTGTGTGGAAGGAAAGGAGCACAAATGAGTTATTTATAGCCAAATTTGGGGTGTACGACGTCTCCCCAGCCACTTTGTACTATGTGTCAGGCTCTCTATGGTTTGCGTTTTCACCTTCTAGAAGCACGCGTCGCGTACCCGGCATGCCCCTGGCTCGTTGCGCGGGGCGCAAATCACAGATTTTGTAAATTTCATAATTTCTTCATACAGACTCTGTTTTGACGTTCTTTTTTTCCACGCTAGCTCTCGACGATTACTAAAAATTTTCTTTAGGCTCCATCGGCAAATTCTAACTTTATTTTTAGCCCTTATTTTTATATGATTTAATGATTTTGCAAAAATTATAACTCTCTCGTACGGAATCTGATTTTGGTGTTTCATTTACCAAAAGTCAACCGTTCTCTTATTACCTTTTAACGTCACACATTCCTTATGTGCGACTGACTTTACCCTAAAGTCAATCATATCTAATTCATATCGAGTCAGATTTGTACAAAATTTATATTTTCGAGATCGACACGACATGTACTATATATATATATATATATATATATATATATATATATATATGTTTTGGCGCTCTTATTTTTACGACTTATGGATGATGCAACTGATTTTTCCTTTTTTTTTTCTTAATACAAAACTTATATTATATAGTATGCAGCACACACGACAATAGATTATCTTAATTATGGATTTAATTTTCATAATTTTTACTTATTACGTGTAGACTAAATTTGCAGGTGTTACACCTTTGTTCGTTCTTCCGTTCCTAAATAAACCATCGTTTTACTCCAATCACTCAACTTGGTTAGGCCCCACAGCTCCTTGACAAATCCCACACACCCAAAAACCTTTAGGTGTGCAATCGAAGGTATAAATCCCTTGCATGCCTCATATGGTGTTACCGCCTTGAGTTCCTTCGTACCAATTCCGTTGTTTAATAGGTAAACAGAGTGTCGCACCGCCTCACCCTAAAACTGGTCTGGTACCACCATGGCCTTATGCAAGGATCTTGTTATTTCCAATATTTTTCTATTGGGATG